CTGGTCACCACCGGCAAATTAGTCGTTGTGTAAAAGGATTCGTTGCTTTGTTTTCCAGACATATTACAAGTCAGGCTACTTCAGTGAACGATCTATATTGTTTGTAATTTGTATGCTGATAGATTCCGATAACACTGAAATGAAACAAAGAATTATTTCGGTAAGTGACACTAAGATATAACCAAATGTAGCGATCTCATACATGTACGCGATAAAATTCAACATTATTAGTCGCATGAGTAAAAGCATGCAAATCCACTGATGCCCAGCTGATGTATTACTTCACATCAGTAAATTCAGTCATTATTATTATTATTATATTGATGCGGTGCTCACAAGTATAGATCAGACAGTCATATACGGGGTACAATTTAAATTCAAGCTGAATTAGTAAAATAATATAATTCAAATAATACGCAATATCATTTTTGGTGTTCGTTCGTTTGGTGTGACTCACACACAAAAGTACACATTTCTCCAATTGAACTAAAATAAGAATTATTCCAAAACATTCCACCAGTTGTACGTTATTATTAGAATGATAATCACTATAATTTTTAACTCATAGCATCCAGGGTACTAACAAATCCCATGGCAGTACTGTCCCATCTATCATACTAATAGCTTTTGTTATCATTTTATTCCATTACCAGCAACAATGACAATTTTGCAATGAATAAAGTAAAACCTGTAACGTTTGACAAATACAATATGAATTGCATGATTTTGTTTTGATCAAACAGAGCTTAATATGTGCTCTTTTTAAACTATGAATAACGCCAATTCTGTGAGGGATACAGAATATGCACTGAAGTAGTTCTCCTTTATTGTTGCCGTGCGACAGGCTGCTGTCAAATATATAACAAAAAATGCGTAGTATGTAAAGCTGAACCCCTGCGTAAATGGGGCATATTGACCTAACACATTTCAGCATTAAAAGATCAGTCTGTACCATACGTGCTCAGTCAACATTTATCACTCTTTAAAAACACCCACAGTAATGCAAACATGTTATCATATTATGTAGGAGATTAATGAATCTGTACAATAGTTTTCACCGAATCAACAAAAAATTTTTCCCACAAATTCCTATCATATATACTATTTATTACACTATTATAAAATACGAGTTGCAAAAACCAGTTTCGTTAGCGCAATATTATTTTATATACATCAATATATCAAACGGTTTGTTTAATTCAAATCTACAGCATTACTATTTACATGTTGCCGGGCATTGCAATGTTAACATCCAATCTAAGCTCTCGGATAATTATAAATAGCTCTTGATCGTTACTTTAACTACGCAAGCATTGTTCGAAATGAGAATGGTTGTTCAATTTCTACTTTTACGATTGTGGCACACATTATAACTACCTTAATTAATTGATTAAAAGAACAGTCAATTCCTTAAATATATGTGCACGAAACATACGATATGCTACTTTTACGTCGGTCAATCGGTCTATACACAATTATCAATCAATGAGGCTATTGTTTGCTTGTACATCATGTTTAAAGATAGACCACAGTAAACTAAAGAACATAATGACAACTAGACAATTTGTCATCTTTCCAAATGAAGTATATTGATACGAACAACAAATAAGATAAAAATATACCCGGAAATAATGTTGGTATGTATGCTAGACGAAATTAGAAATTTACTATTTGCTTGTTGCAATTGAGATTCTGTTTGAAATACCTACTATTTAGATAAATACAAAGCCAGTTGTTTGTTATGACATATAATATTCACCGAATTATGATATTATTAGAAACAAATATAATGTTGAAATACATGAAATAATAATGTATATAATATATAATAAGTATTGAATTTGTGAGCGCCATACAACTGAACATTTCGTTCTTCAAACGTGAAGTTCATTTGTATTTACCGTATATTCAGCCACAAAAATAAGCGTATCATGGTGGCATCGCGTAGGTAGAGGCTCCATTGAGATACAGATCGTAGCATCGAAATGCGGATGACTCATGATTATGTTAGATTTTTACGGTTCTAAAATTAATGATTGCGATTGTGACAGTTTGTAAATTATGTAGAGCCACATAAACATAAACGTCATATATTATTGCAATGATGAAGCATCACCAACATAGCACCAATAACCTTGACAATGGCTTTAAAAGGCGATATACGTTTGAACTGGCCAATCACTAAATCTACATACAGATAAAGACATCAAACGCATAATGTAGTTTAGTAACAATTTCCTCAGGTCAAGCCTTGCATATCTTTAAACTTACAATTAGACAATTTTCGAGCAACATGTTCCCCTGAACAATTTTGGAATCTAGGTCCTCCGTACGCCATTTCCTGCATTTTGAAGAACAAATTGTGCTGACACAAAGGGTTTCAGCTTGATTGGGGGTGGGCAACATTTTTAGGGGGGGTGATCGACCCTTCTTCCTCCCGGTGCCACTGATTATATACAAATATTTGGCATATTTTATTATCTTCCAATCACGTTGTGTATTTTCCATGTTCATACAATTGTGATAAATTAGTGAAATAATAAATGTATGGGAGTATGTTTGACAATTAATAACCATAACATTTCATTTCTAAATTAGATGGTCATAGATCATTTTGAAATTTACATGGCAGTTGTTAAAAGCGCAAAAAGAATTTATACGGAATGATCGAATTCAAAATAGTAGCTATACTTAATTGCAATGAGTAAAGTCTTAGTTTTGTGTAATAAAACATACACGTGAATCACTTGGTAAACGAATGGAATACCGGTGTGTGATTAACTATTATAGAAAGAATACAACAAATTGTATTTTCAGTTGAGGCTGAATACAAATACTTCATTGTTACAACAGAGTTGTACAAAAGCAACTATATATTATAAGGTGGACTGGGAATGTGCACATTACAAGATGGCTATTTTAAATATGACCAAGTGTTTAAATCACATGTACAGTCGCGCAAAATTATAACAAATTTTTTTCCCGCTCAGGTTCTACATCAAGCACAACACGGCATTCATTATGTGTGACGTAAAATGCGCTAAGCCTAAATAATGTTCTGGCAATGACGAGTACAGATCATTCAATTCAAACACTACATAAAATTACACGCTTAACACATCGTGTGGCTTTACCAAGAGGGATTAATAACGTATTCATCTAATCACAATAGAATATACGAAGTCTATGACATAGAATACGCAGTTAGCTCTATATCATGGACTATTTGGAAAAAAACACAGTAACACTAAGTGCAATTGGAGCATACGGTAAAGATCTAAACATTCATCTACAAATTTCTAAATAAAACTACTTAAACGGCCAGATCGTGTATTGACACCAGGCGTTAGTTGAAGCTTAAACGTCTCAATGGCAGAACACGGCTACTTTAAGCGTGCATATGATAATCAAGCAATATAATAACAGTAAATACCTGGAATAAACCTGTGCTGGTGCCAGTGACAACATGTAAAGTAACTACCAGTCCAATATAGCGTTCTATACAGACGCGTTCACTTCGTATATATGTGGCTGGAAGTGTCCACTGTGATAGGGGTTCCTGCACTGAATGTAGGGGCGGTACTTATCTCGCGTGTGAAGCACACTCGGCCATAATATACGAAGCAGGTCACATAGATCAGGAAATATAATACGAAATTAATTTGTTTTCCCATTTGGCAAACGCACTCGCAACGTACCTAAAACTCAGGGTAAACATCCCAAACCAACTCAAAATATTGTAATTAAACTGAGTCCCATGAGACGCATTGGCGAATAATCATATACTTATGCAAGTAATAATTATATAAATCAATTTATAATAACATACATGTAAGAAATTATCTCAGTCGACGATTAACATATAACATGTCTGATGGAGTGGTATAACTTTTTGAGATTTCATTTCAGTTAAACAAAGATCTCAAACAAAACCTTAAACCGACGGCGTGAATACACGTAATTGATGTGTCAGATCGCGTAACTGACAATCAACCTGACTCTGGGATGACTTTGAATTGTAACCACCTTAGAGTGGGTTGTTGACAATCAATGTAGTTTATAGAGATTTCCATAGCGAAGCAAACACTAAAACGTTTCGTAATTACATAATATTGTCTACACGAAGTCGGAAATCAACAACCATAAAAACCATTTAAGGAAACGTTTCGGCTGATCAACAGAGCGTACATAACCCACCCACATTTGTCGATACCTTCTTAACCGAGAATTAGTTCAAGGTTTTTGTCATCTAGTATGAGTCAAATAATTTGACAATATTTCTTCAGTAGAACTATGTACACGAGGGATATATATATATAAACACAGGCAAATTCTCTGAATCCCACATGACGCTGCGGGGAATCATTACTGTCGTTATAAATCAATACCATCATAACTAAACAAATGTATTTAAAATTGGGGAATTTTAGCTGAAATGAATTTGCTTATTGGCTATGATGCCATACAAATATCCAATCCCGATTTATAGAACTGAATGATGGGCTGTGCCTAGTCTTTCAAATATTTT